GAAGCAACTGGACCACAGGACTAACTGTCATCATCAGGAAACACTGCCTCCTCGACCTGGAGGCCAGAGCTAGAGAGTGTCCGGCTACCGCTACAGAACATTCTGCACAGGAGGGGAAAAAAGGTGGATCCTGACAGAAAAGAAGAACAATCTGAAACAAGATTTCAAATTCTTAAAGAATTCAGACTGGACCTATGCAAACCAGAAGAAGCAGTGAGGCTATTGCCCAGAATGATGCTTCCACCCTTGAATTCAAAAGTATCCTCCAAAGTCACCTTCAAATGAGGAGTTCAACTCCCAAAGGAAAGCTTATCACGCTGAGACTTGTGCTTTTAAAAAGCCTATAATGGGAATGGACGATGCTATTTGCGTGAAAGGAAGAACAATCTTTTTAAGCAGAGGAAGAAGCGGATGGCTCTTTAAAAAAAATCAAACCTTTGTGTAGGGACAAATGTAGACACTGGCAGATCTATTAGAAGGTTATACTCATAATCATGTAAGAGTGAAGGTGTGCGTGAGGGAGATCGATTAAAGCGTATGACTAACCTGTCTTCAGTGAGGTTGAGCATAGAGCCGGGCCATGTCAGAATAATGCATTGTTCTTAGATTGCAACAAGAATTAAGTGTAAGCCCCAAATCTATTCTTATGTCTATGATTTATGTATCTCTGATTCACTTTTGAGACATCATTATAATTTTATGATATGAGAACATGATAAAACATCTCCCTGGGGAAGAACAACAGAAAACATGCGGGGAAGGAGTCAGCAGTCTGTGTGAGATGTGAAAATAATAATAGCATTCAAGACATCCATGCCCTCTACTGGAAGGAGAAAATGTTCAATATGTTTTACGTATTCCATAATTCAGGTCATTTAGTGTCAGGGGAGCCAGCCCCTAACAAGCCATCATGGTCCAGCAGGTGCAATGGTACAGCTACAATACATACAGATCACAGTAAAGCCAGGGAGAATAAGGGAGATAGGAGAGAAGGTAAAATAAAGGAGTCAGACGCATTTCATGGTAGCATGCTCACCTCAGCCCCGCTTGATGGTCCACATGGAGATCCGGAGACCAGAGAGGAGCACAAGGGAGAGGGAGGGGGAGCAGGGAAGGAGGGCAGGAGGAGAGGGGACAGGGCTCAAGAGAGGACCAGAGGAGAGGGGATGGGAGGATAGAGGACTGGGGGAGAGAGGACGGGAGGAGAGGGGACCGGAGGAGAGGGGACTGGAGGAGAGAGGACCGGAGGAGAGGAGACAGGGCTCAAGCGAAGGGGACCAGAGGAGAGAGCATCTTTATTGTTTTGGGGCTATTTGTAGGTAGCTGTAAGTCATGCATATTCAGGAGTTACATACCTCACAAGGTGGGTGGTAATCACAGTACAGTCTCTGAGCTCAAGGGTGAGGAAACCCAGAACCAGTGGGGGAAGGCCTGAGGGGGGGATGGTGCCTCTGGGGGAGGAGCTAATCAGGAGTATCTGCCTCTACAGGGAGACAGACTCAACCACTTTAAGGCAGCATAGCTGTTGGGGGCGAATCTGCGGGAATGACATTTGTTAGTTTCCCACAATTTAACAATTCAGGCTGTGCGGCTCTCAGCAAGACTGAGAGTGATGGAATGTTCTGGAAGCCCTGCCTCAGTCCCACCATCACAGGGCTTCTAGGGAGGAGGAACCTCAGAGACCAGTCTTGGTCCCTGTTTTGCAGGTGATGAGCCTGGGGCCCAGGAGGGGCAGTGGAGGCAGCCTTGTCTGAGCGTGTCTGACAGCCTGGGCTTCCCTGAGGTTCACTGGGAGCCCGGGGTTGGGACGGCTGGCAGCTGTACCTACAGTCTGGTGGCAGGGCCCCAGGGCTGTCTCTAGTAGGCAACTCACTCAGGGGTGGCCTCTGAGCATCCAGGCAGAAGACTTGTGTGCGGGGTAGGTCCAGGTACATGGGCCCCGGCAGGCGCTCCCTGCCTTCTTGAGAGCAGCTTCCTGCCCACCCAGTAAGCCAGACTCCACTGTGAGTTCGTTGTCTGGAGAGGAGAGGCTGTATTGGAGCCCACTCAGGAGATGCGGCGCTTAGGGTCCCCTGCTCCCTCCCACCATCTTCTGGCGTCAGAGCCCATCCCTCCTGGGTGGGTGACAGGATTTGTTTTTTCCATGCCCTCCTCTCCTCTTCAGAAGACCCTGGGTTTCAATGTTGGAAAGGACCTCAGCCGTCTCCCAGTCTGTTCTTAGTAGGAATTCTTCCTCCAACATTCTTCGCGCTGTTAACAAGCTTCTGTATTTTTGTTTTGTTGTGTCATCCAAGTGGGGTTTCTTTTTTGTTTGTTTGTTTAATCATTTTATTGGGGGCTCGTACAACTCTTATCACAATCCATACATACATCCATTGTGTCAAGCACATGTGTACATTTGTTGCCCTCATCATTCTCAAAACATTTGCTTTCTGCTTGAGCCCTTGGTATCAGCTCCTCATTTTTTTTCCCTTCCCTCCCCGCAAGCTTCTGTTTTTGAACACCTCCACAGACAGGAAGCTCATTACCTCTCAAGACGGTCCATTCCAGTATGGACTGTGGGGCCAGGCTGCGTGGGTTCAAATCCAGGATCTGTCCGTTAGATAGGTTACTTAACTGCATGGTTTCATTTTCCACATCTGAACAATAGGACTAACACTGGGGTCTACCTTGTCAGGTTCCTGAGAGTATCAAATGCCTCCTATCCAAATGTATCAACAGCCCATGCCCCTCGAGTGTGACCCTATCAGTGTATTCTCCTTAAGCCACTGTCATCAGCCATTCTGACCCA